TGTGTGTGTGTGTGTGTGTGTGTGTGTGTCTACTGTCTGCTCCATTTGATATTCATATGTAAGTGAGGTGAAAGTGAAGCAGTTACTCGCATGCACATATATACACACGTACACTTGTAACCAGTGGAAAAAGACATCACTCCTATGAAGAATGCAACCCTTGACTAAGAGGTAAATAATCCAGAAAATAATACCTAAAGATACAAAGAACAGCCAAGCTCTGTGAATGGCATATGTTGCTGCACAGATTTAATATTATGCTATCCATAATTTCTCTTTTGTTTTTGACAATTATACACATGAATAGAGTGTATCGTGATCATGTTCCCATTAGCCTCTTTTATTCCTCCTCCCTCACTCTTGCTGACTCTCTTTTTCCTACAGATTTTTTTTTTTTGTGTGTGTGTGTGTGTGTGTGTGTGTGTGTGTGTGTGTGTGTAGGTCTTGTGTCAGTAGCCACAACTGAAAGTCAGGAGCCTACAAAGGCTGAGCCCTAGGCAGACCTGCCTCTAAAGTATTCGTATAGCACCTGCTACCCAAGAGATTTGGCTACCTCTCCATCAATAACTGATTACTATCACTTAGAACTCTTTTGAATGCAAAAGTCCAAATAGTGATGGATCCATCACTATTTTTGACAGAACTTTAATTAGCCAGTATGTACTGGTCTAATCTCATCTACTCACCTAAAACTAAAACTTTAAGTGAAATTCTTGAGTCACACTTGCAAATATATGATACTCCCCCTAGAGAACTAAACTGTAAAAAATAATCTCTCATTTCTCAACCCACACCACGTCTTTTCCTTTTATGTGAAGCAGTCTTACCTTTTTGGCATTTTCTGATTGACTTAGCATTTTTTCTGCATCTTCAAGCCAGGCTTGAAGGCTAGCCACGGTGTTGCCATAGCGATCCCAGTTGGAAATCACTTCCTCCAGCATGCTCCTCACGCTCCTCACCTCCACTGAGAGGTTCCGCCACTGAGCAGTGGTCTCATTCATGAACTTCATCACGTTCTCAGCTTCCTCCACTGGCACCACAACAATCAGTTATTAACCTCATCTTGTTTTTAAAGGCCTCTATGTGGTTTCCCTATGGTCTTATGCACTGGGATACAACTGCCATCAGTCAGAAATGCTCAGTGCCACTTCCAGCAATGGTGATAAACATTCACAAGTAGAAAACAAACATATTCTACAGTGTGAGTCTTCACAGTAACTTAAGCTCTTACGTACTGCAGTCATTCCAATTTTTGCTCTTAATCGCCTTAGAATCGAAACTAGGCTGAAAAAATGCAACTCAGAAAAGTGAATGCTTATTTTGTTCTGTTTGTTAGAAGATTATACATGGAGGAGTGGGTGAGTTAGACACTATACAGAATCAGTATGCCCTCCTCAAGGTTAATGCATGATTACACAAAGAGTCTGTACAGGAAAAAAATAATTGATCTGACCCCAGAGAAACCTGTACATTTTTAATTCTACCGAAGTCAATGCTACAACAAATTCTTTTCCTTCTTAGTTGGTATTAATTGTATAGCATGCTGGGTTTCATTGTGACATTTTCATACATGCATGTAACATACTTTGACCATATTCACCCCCAATTATCCTCTTTTACTCCCCTCCCTCCCTCCTCCTCCCTGTTCCCTCCTCTTCCATGCTGCAAATTCTACAGTGTGTCTTACCTGAACCATCCGCTTTGACATACATCTCAGCTGTCTGTTTCAAGATCTGGTATGTTACTTCATATTGTTCAAAGAACTTGCTATTTTCTATAAAAGACTAGAAAAAGGAAATATTCTCGTTGAGAAGACAATGAACATTAGGCTTCTGCACAAACACCAAGGACAGTTTTATTTGTAAGGATATGGGTATTTTATCCAATTCTGCCAACTCCATTCTTCTGCAAATTACAAAATGAATTCCACTGTCATGAATAACTTAAGGTTGTGCTAAGACTTTATTGATGCCATATTTTCAATTCTAACTAAGCACCAGATTGAGAACATATTTAACTTCTTCACCATGTAAAGATTTGGTTTTTTGTTGTTGTTGTTGTGTTTTGTTTTTTGTTTTTTGTTTCCCAAAAGACAGACTTTTCTCAAGAGAACCTGGGCCTAACATTTAGAAAGTGCTAAATTTGGGAGAATACTCTGACATCTCACTGTGTTTGAGCTGTGGAAGTCTGCTGCTCTTTCAACACTGGTCCTGGTGAATGACGTGACTGTGCTGAGGAACTTCCAATGAGACACAAATGACAGTTAAAGTAAGTACGTAGGCTACCCATGATACTGATGGTCTCATCCCAAATGCCTAGTATTTAAAATCCAGTCTAAGATATAGCTAGCTACATGTTTGTCCACATATAATTTTCACTTGTGACAGAATCATTATTAACAAGTGTATGTAATAAAATTGAGAGGACACAAAAACTTATGTAAATTTTATTATTACTAATGTCCAAAGCCCTTCATATTTAAAAGATTATTCTTATTACTATAATTAGAAACTTAATACAACTATAGCTGGCAATGTGCTCCAAAACACCTTTAAATTCTCCTAGTAGTAGAATGAATTCTAAAGACTTAGTCCATCAAAATAATTGATAGGAATCACTATCAGACAATGCAAACTTACCCTTCCCTTCACAGGCTAAAGTCCTTCATAGTGCGCTAACACTCCGGTACAGTATACTAATTCTGATGTTCATATGGAGGTGCTTACGTGCAGAGACAAAACAGTTTATAAAGCGGTTTCATAAACATCCCTAGATTTTTACCAAGGCTTACTCTGTTTCAATACAAAATTTTAAATATCATACATAGAGTATATCGCAAATAATCTTATATTTATGAAACATAAACTATCCTTCAGAGATAAAGTAAATGCAGAATGCTGTGAATTGTATGAGACAAGTGCAAAGACTATGACTGGTACCTTATTCAGGGACTTTAATAGGCTCTGCTATTCTTGGCTGAGAGGAGAGTAAGACAGGCATTCTCTACCTAATTCCTTATTTAGTCTCATGTCCTATTCTTACTCCCTAGTTGCGGAAAGAATAATTTACTAGAACTTAAATTATGAATCATCTAACCAAACAATCAAGCCATGATTGATCCAAAAATGGAACATTGTACTTAACGTTCGTGATGTTGTTTAAGAAACTGAAGAACTAAGTGCATTTGATAGAACTTAAAAAAATAGTCTCTGTTAGATTAGAGGGATGGTGCAGTGGTTAAGAGCACTGGCTGCTCTTGCAGAGGACCCAGGTTCAATTCCTAGCACTCACATGGCATCCATAACTCTAATTCCAGGGGATCCAATGCCTTCTTCTGATCTCTGCAGGCATTGCACAACACAAGTATACTTACATACATACAGGCAATACACTCATACACATAAAATAAAAATACTAAATAAAATATTTTTAAAAGTCTCTGTCGAGCTGTTAAGAATTATAAAAAGCTAATGAGAAAACTAAAACTGCCACTGTGAAGATGATGACTGACACCTGCCTGGGACAGGCACTTCACCATCTCTTGCTAGAGTAGTCTACAAAGTTATTACAAATTGATAAGAAAAAAGGACTTACTTCCTGGGTTATTTTAGTTTTAAAACTTGGAGGGAAGTTAAGAATATAATGAAAATTGTAAAGATTATCTTTCCACTTTCCTATCAAAATGATGAGGCAATTCATTTTTCAATATATTATTATTTTTATTATATGAGTGTATCGCCTGCATGTGTGTAAGTACACCTGTGTAATGCAATGCCTGAAGAGGACAGAAGAGGGCGTTGGATCCCCTGGGACTGGAGTGACAGACAGCTCTTAGCTCCCATGTGGGTGCGGGGATTTGAACCCGGGTCTTTTGCAAGAACAGCCAGTGCTCTTAACTGCTGAGTCATTTCTTCAGCCCAAGAAAATTAATTTTTAAAAGAAGATAAACCTATTTGTTATTTACATTTTTCATTGACCCATATAATTTGGCCCCTTGTTTGGTAAATATGGAAATTCCATGAAACATATGAAGTTAGCCTAGTAGAGTTACTTCGGCAGGACAACAGATATACTCCTGAGCTATTTGACCATGAGCTATCTATAAACTACTCTTAGGAAAATATGAAATAAACACACATGCACATTTATTTTGCTTTCTACACTCTGATACACAGTTAACTATATTTATTTCTATTTGTTCTCAGTTTTGTTGATTGTGTTTTTATTGATTTTTTTATTGATCTTTTGTATATTACATACAGAACATCTTAATCATCTTTATATCCCCTTACACAGTGGCACCCTTACATAGCTCACCCCTTACTGGATTTCATACATTCTGACAGTTATCTTAGGGCCTATCGAGTCAAGTTAGTGTCCCCAGACATCCCTCAGTGCCAGTTCATCTACTGGGGTCTAGTCAACCTATCTAGAGTCACTCCCTTAAAGAAGATCTGTTCTTCCTGACCCAGAAATAATCCAGCTGTCCTATAGTTCTTCAACTAAGATTGGAGCCTGCTGCCCATTTCCACAGCTCTATGCTGGGTTTTTGTCTGCTTGAGTTTACATGGGTCTTATGTATGTACATTCTAAATAAAAATGAAAGAATTAATTTATTAAAAATTAGGCTAAAACTAAGTTATGAAATCAAATTTAGCAAATGATCTATGCTAGTCAGTGCCTACTTTTAACATAGTTGATAAGAGAAGAAAATTTAGAATACCAAATAACACTGAATTCAAAATATTAGATCTACCTTTTTTTTTTGAGACAGGGTCTCCCTGTAGCCCCAGCTGGCCTGGAAATTGCTATGGCGACCAGGCTGGCCTCCTTCTCACAGAGATCTACCTGCCTCTGCCTTCGGAGTGCTGGGAATAAATGCATGTACCACCATGCCTGGCTCTTCAAAATATGTGAAGTGGCCAAATTGCTATACTTACAACTACAAATAAATAAATAAATAAATAAATAAATAAATAAATAAATAAATAAAAGCTCATTGATTTCATTCAGAGGAAGCTAAGCCAGATAATTAAAAATTATTCAATTCTTTAGTATATGATTAGCATTAAACTGAGAATTAAGACTAAGGAGAATAAGTTCAAACTTTTTACAGCCTTGGTATTATTTTGGCTATAGATAACCAGAGGTACATGATGCACTATATATTTTTTTAAGTGATGGAGAAAAGAGTTACATTTAAGCAACTTAATTTATGATTGCATTGAAAATCTTCAAACTTTTGGAAGCGGTCTGTGGCAACCTTTCCAATCTCACATAACTCTGCACCATGTTGCCTACCCCACAAATAAGAATAGCAGCGATCATGCTGGTACAGCATGTAAATGTTTTACATATGGAACATAATAAAGGGAACTAATATTTATGTGAGCTACATTTTTAACTAAGATACAAAAATATGAATATTTTGGTCTTTTAATTTAAAGGTATTTTTGTTCACAGACTGTGTACTTAGGGAGTGATATTGGTACTTGCATGCAAGGGCTCTTGATTTGTGAATATTTGGACTCAAGTTCTGACTCTGCCTTACCAAGTGTGCCATGTGGAGCATGAGGCTTGGACATTTGGAGCTTCAGAGCGTCCATCCAACTTCCTCAGTGATTAAAGCAATGTGGAAACCATCAGTCCACAACGTCTTCATTGTGATGAAAAGTGAATACTCAGTGACCCACGATTATTAAAACTATTCAACAAAAATAGACCTAAAAGCCATTTATAAAAAAGATGTGTGAGCCCTAACTAGGTGTGTTTCACCAGGGCAATGGAGTAATAGAGAATGTTCATTAAAACATACCTGGTTTGTAGGATGATTGTCAACTTTACGTATACATGAAATTTGCAAAGCAGTTTGAAATTAGCAGTTTAGTGAACTCTTTAACCCTATGGAGTAGGCAGGACGTACTGACTTTTTATCATTAACATCAATTCTCTATTTATATATCTTTTGAGAAGCTCAAAGAGAATTATTAATATCATTGTTTTGGAACATCACCTGGGGAAACAGTCCTATTAGGTATTTTAATCTGATTGGCTGTTCTTAAATAGCTAGAACAAAGAATGGATCCTTTATAATTAACTCCTGGGCTCAGAGTGCATTGTTGGGAATGACTAACCCTGAAAACATAAATCCATATCTGTATTTAATATTTATGAGGCTAAGGCATTTAAAAAGTATATTTTTCATCACTTTCAAAAATAGCTAGAAATGAATAAAGGAACATAACCTAGCATATTTCACAGCTTTGGAACAAGTGTTTCCTAGACAATTTTAGTAAATCTAGAGAAAAATTTACTAACCAACAGTCAAATTTTTTTTGTTTCAAATTCATGTGCTTCACACATCATCAGTTAAAAGACCAAATTCAAGAGTAATGTTGATTATGCTTCCAAATGCTTCAGTAAAGATACAGTTTCAATAGGCATCACATCACATGTTCTATAGGTCACTGTGACAAATCAGTTTTTAATACATTGGTATTTTTTAAGTCCATTAGCATTAATGTTCTGATAAAATGTGTGTTACAAATAAATTTGTTTATATACATGATTAACTGACTAAGGAAATAAATCGCCTTTATTAAATATGCTGTATTAACTACTTGTAAATGGAACTGCTAGTTAAAGAGAAGTCACATTCTTTTATTCATGCTGGGCTACTATTCTAGAGAAAATTGGGATTATCTAAACCAATACCCCGAATAGTTAAGATAATCTTTTAAAATCAAGTTGGTTCAGAGATTTGTAGACAAAACTGCACTATGCCTGGGTACACACAGTGATAGTGAGAGCCAGGGATGACTAGGAAAGAGACTCACCAAAGTAAGCCTACAAAGTTGACAGTCTCCATGTGGACGACTAAAATTCCTTCCACATTTACTCATGCTTGGAGTTTAGGAGACATTTGGGTGGTCTTCAAATATAACAAATTGGTTCCAAAGGAGTAACCGGGTTATAATTAAAGATAAGTGAATAACATAAAAACGTTTTTAAGCAATAAAGCCCATGACAACGGTTCAATTAATAAAGAAAAACTTTTTCCAAGTATGGATTTGCAACAACAAATTCCAAAAAAATACAGGGTTATATTTCAGGTGTTTGTGAGGCGCTCCTAACCTCAGATCCAGCCCACTTAACACACTGGTATGTTTACACTGAAGTTCAAGGTTGAACTTGGTCAGAGCTAGACACTTACGGTGTAGTTCTGCAGCATCAGTTCCACAGATTCTCGCCTCCCGTACTTGATGATCCAAGACTTCAGCTTTGACTCTGCAAGAACCAGTAGCGAGAGCAGGCGGTACTTCAATTCTAGAAATTCCATTTTCATTAAGTGTAGCTCGGAAGTGGAGGATACAAAATGAAACCTAGAAATAAACCAGAGAATTTACACGATGTAACTAATAGAAACAGAATGAGGTTTACTTAAGCCGCTACATGTCAGCCTTAAATACCATGCAGCCAGAAGGTCTTCTAAACGCTCTCTGCTTGCGGTCAGGGGATCGGATTCCTTTTCTAGCTCTGGGTTTAAAAGGGAAAACACTACTGATTGAAGCTTTTGATTTAGTGCTCTCCTCTGCCAACACATCTCTCATCTGTTTCTTTTAAAAGCTGTTTTTGCAATATTACATAATGTGCCTTACAGTACTGAATAAAAATACAGCCCATGAAGGAAGCATTGCTGTGATCTGCAGGCTGTGGGAACATTCCAGCTCACTCTCTACAGTTAATAATATACTAGAATGCTGGCTTTCTTTGCTTCTGTGTGGGGACCCACTTTGCATTTCCCAAAAGCAAGCATCCCTGTTACAACAATAGCAAACAATTCATTTTGGAGAAGAAAATACATGTAGAAATGAAGACTGAAAAAGCATCCATCTAGTGCTTTAAAAAAGAGCCTTCATATAGAATCAGACATTCCCTTACCTCTCAGCCATGTCCTCTAGTTGATCAGGTGGTACTGGGATCCCATTAACAGACCTGGTCCGGTAGATTTCATGGAATGCTCTTTTGTGGACATCTGTGTTTTGAAGCAGATCCTAAGATAAATTTTTTTAAAAATTAAAAATGGGAAAACGTGTTTCCAGGAGGCTGGGGAGCATACTTTTCAGGCTGTACCGGTGAGTCAGTGTTTTCAACAATTTGCTCCTGCTCCTGCCTTCACATGCAGCTCGTGCGTGCTACCAGCTTTTACCTTGAGCAGCAGTCCGTGCCTGTGGCTTCTCGACTCTCCTGGAGCTCTGTCTAATAATCATGGCATCTTTAAACACACATGACACTTGCCTGGCAATGCATTCAGACGTTTTAAAGGTATATGATCCAAAGACCATGGAGAGGCTGCTAGAAACAGCCATTTCAGTGTTTGCCTGGTTTCAGATATGCTGGGTTTTTTTTTTTTTTTTTTTTTTTTTTAAGCTGAAAACTAAACACAACAAACTTAACTCTTTAATGGTAAAGGTACCCAGTTCTCTACTCTTATTTTTAGTTTGAATGCGTGGGAGCTACTTTAAACAGTATTTGCTTGCCATGTCAAGTAAGTCAATTATCATAATGTATTTTGAAAACACTCTTTTGGTTAGAAAATCTCCCAGAAGGCAGGAAGTGCCGCGTAGCTAAACACCCCGCTTGACCTCCCTGTGTTATCAATGTGGTTTATCAACTCTATAGAAACATTTCCATTTCTTCAGGTTAGTTTGACTCCTGATTTGTTTACTGTCCTTTTTGACATCCATACACTTATTTATAAAAAGACTATTTTCACCGTCCCTAACCTATTTTTCACAAAGAAGCAAGCTGGGGTGAAAAGACGTGAATGCCGTTTCCTGACACTTAGCCTGTTTTTCTGTGGCAGAAGAAATAATAGTCACTCGCTGAAGAATAACACACATTAGCCCACCCAAATGACAGATTCGAATTAACATTGTCTTTCTCAACTATTATTTATTGGTCCACTGGAGAAAATAAAGTGCAAAAAGCCAAAACACATACATTTAAGGGAATGGACAAATGAAAACCCTTAGAACAAGTATTTAAATTTTAAGACCTGAGTCTGGCCAGTGAGATGGCTAAGGTTGCTTTCCACCAAGCCTGACAATCTGAGTTCAATCCTTGGAACCCATATGGTAAAAAAAGAGAACCAATTCCCAAATCCCCACAAGTCATCCTCTGTCCTCACATGTGCGCTATGTGTGTACATGGTGGCACATAGTGCTCCCCCATATGTAAATAAGTGAATGCATGTAATAAAAATGTTAAGGCTTATAGTTATTTTTCCACATAAGAGACATACTAACATTATCAAAAGCCTCAGGTTAAACTATTTATGTCCTGATAGATTTTACAATGCTCACATAATTCTTTAAGTCCGTAAGTAATTACATGTATATATGTAGAAGTCATTCACACCAGATGGAAGGATCTGTGACCACAGAGGAAAGAGACAAGGGGTAGTTTTCATTGGTGATTAGTATTTCAGTCACCCTACCTGCTTTAGGGAACCCAGACACATTTCTATGGCATATGGTCTTGGCTAAAACTCCCCCTAAGTGATTGCAGAGGAACTTTCTCACCACCATGGATAGCTCCCATGTGTTATTGCTAACAGATACTAGTATCTAGTGCAAAGGGAAAAGTTCTTACCAAATATAACAAACAAAAACCTTTGAACAACATGTGACAGAGCTTCTCTAGCTGGCATGGTACAACTTATTTTTTGGAAGAACCCTTTCATGGTAAGACCTCTGGATGCCGAGCAAAGCATAAGTTGTTAATTCCATTGACTGGGCTCATTAAAGTACAATTATTTGGGCTTCCTGACAAAAACAGCCAATTCCCTCAGGAAGGCTGAGGCCCAGCTGATAGCAAATGTAATTGGAAGAAAGCAAAGATTACCAACACAAGGACCTAGCTACTAACACTGAAAGCCAGCAAAACAGCAAATTCGAGGAGCTAGAAACATTTCAGGTGTTCAGTACTCAACAGCTGTACATAAGTTAGGAGGAAAATTATTCCCTGCCAAAAACAGCCAATTCCCTCAGGAAGGCTGAGGCCCAGCTGATAGCAAATGTAATTGGAAGAAAGCAAAGATTACCAACACAAGGACCTAGCTACTAACACTGAAAGCCAGCAAAACAGCAAATTCGAGGAGCTAGAAACATTTCAGGTGTTCAGTACTCAACAGCTGTACATAAGTTAGGAGGAAAACTATTAAAGTGGTTGCGCTGGATAGCTTTAGTGTCAACTTGACACACCTGGGTTGAGGGAGCCTCAATCGGGAAATTGCCTCTATTGGACTGGCCTGTGGCCATGTCTGAGGGGCATCTTCTTGATGAGTGATGTAGGAGGGCCCAGCCCACTGTGGGTGGTGCCACCCCTGGGCAGGGGGGCCTGTGTTGTATAAGAAAGCAGGCTGAGCATGGGCCAGGGAATCAAGCCAGTAAGCTGCGTTTCTCCATGGCCTGTGCTTCAGCTCCAGCCTCCAAGTTCCTGCCCTTGGGCTCCCTGATGAACTGTGACCCAGGAGATGTAAGCTGAATAAACTCTTCCCAAGTTGGTTATTGGTCAGAGTATTTTGTCACTGTAAATGGAGAAATAAACCAGAACACTCTGCCTCTCAAGTGCAAAGGTTAAAGGCAGGTGTGCGACACCAAAGCCAGCAGCATTTCTTTTTTTATTCAACATAGTACTGGAAATTCTATGCGGGGCAGTTAAGCAAGAAAAGGTAACAGAAGGCTTACACAATGGATAAATTTGAAACTATCTGTAACATAATTTCACATATAGAAAATTCTAAAGAATACATACACAGAAACCTACTAGAGTAAGAGTTCTGCAAAGTTATATAAGAATGACATAGTCTTGCAAAGGTTGGCCTCAAATCCACCCTCCAGCTTCAGCATCCTGAGTGCTGGGGTTACAGTTAAGTGGCATCACATCCAGCTCTAAATATTGCTCTTATCTTCATTTAACATTATGACAAAAATATCACATAAGAGTTAAGGCAATTACCTAAGATCACACAGTGTTATAGATAGGATCCCAATTTAGAACCAGGTGAATCTTGAGCCCCTGCTCTTAACTTGCCTCTTACAGATTAATTACCAGGGATGATTTGGATGCAACACTAATTAGGCATTCTGCAGTGAAGGAAATGTTCTTTATTTGTGCTGTTCAAAATGGCAGTCATCAGACACACTTGACTAGCTGAGCACTAGAAATGTAGCTATTAGGAAGCTGGGTGTGGTGGCACATAAATGTAATCTCAGCACTTGGGAAGTGGAGGAAGGAGATTAAGAATTAAGGCCAACCTGGGTCTTGAACATGGTAATTTTAAGTCAGCCTTGGATACAAGAGACCCCGTTTCAAAATCAAAACGCAAAAAAACAAAACAAAACAAAAAAAAGCCAATGGTTAACATAATTAATGTACTGAAATTTTAATTTAAACTATTTTTGGATATTTTCTATATAAAGTCCAGACTGATTTAGAGCTTGCAATCTTCCTGCCTCAGCCTGTGACTGCTGGGATTATAAATCAGTGCTCTAGTTTTTATGCTGAGAAAGTGTGCTGGATACCTTTAGTGTCAACTTGACACACCTGGGTTGAGGGAGCACAATTGATGAATTTTGTCCATTACATTGCCTATGGTCATTTCTGTGGGGCATTTTGATTGTTGAGTGATGTGGGAAAGCCCAGCCTACTGTGGGCAGTGCCATCCCTGGGCAGGTGGTCCTGTGTATGAGAGCAGGCTGACCTCAGGCCGTGGAAGCAAGCCCGAAAGCAATGTTCCTTCATGGTCTGTGCTTCAGCTCCTGCCTCCAGGTTCCCTGAGTTCCTACCTTGGGCTCCCTGATGAACTGTGACCTGGGAGTTGTAAGATAAATAAACCCTTTCCTCCCCAAGTTGGTACTGGTCAGAGTGTTTTGTCACAGCAATGAAGAACAAACTAAGACAGTGGTCTTATTTCTCACAGTGATAGATGTGGTTAATACAATGATTTTCAACTTTGTTAAATATCTACGGTCAAATTTCAAGGATGATCATATCATGTAACTATGATTTATAGTTTCAAGACAGCAGAAGGTAAACAATGGAACGAGTAAAGCAAGCTAAGCTGGGTATAACAGTGCACACCTCTTATGCCAGCAATTGGGATTGCTGTGCGTTTGAACTTTAGTTACAGAATGATATTCTGTCTCAAAAAATACTAAAACTAGCCGGGCGTGCCTTTAATCCCAGCACTGGGAAGGCAGAGGCAGGCGGATCTCTTGAAATCAAAGTAAAAACTAAAACAGGGAAGGAAGAAAGGGAAGAAGAGAGGGAGGCCAAAGTTAGTAAATGGTAAAAACCAAAGCAGAACTCTTCTATCAATGTATAAATAACCAAAAGATAAGAAAAAGAAAACAGTCAAATGATACAGAGAACTCAAGCACAGCACATCCGTACTTAAAAAGAAATCTATCCATTTATTAGACAAAAGACTGATAGTGTCAGGTCAGAGGAGCAAATAAAATCAAACATGTCAGAGCTTTTATGAGATACATTTAACCATTAAGAACATGAAAAAGCTAAAATTTCTCAAATGAAAAACACATCAGTATACTAACAAAAAGAAAGCTTATGTAAATGTAAACATCAGACAAAAGAAATTTCAGAATTACCAAAAGTAATTAATTGCTTAATGATAAAAGTTTGAACTTACTAGATTTGGGCCAACTGTATGGTCTTAAACACCCAAAGGAAAGTGTACCCAAAGAGTAAAGTCATCAGTGTATTTCTTTAAGAATCCAAGGGATTACACTTCCCAGACATTAGGCTTAAGTCTATATAAAAAGTTATTTAGACAATTATTTCTCATTGATGATTTTGTTCCTAACCAGAAAGTGCTGCTCAGATGTAAGACTTCAAATCTTGGTCTCCGATACTGTAGTGCCCGCCTGTAGCTAAGGGAAACAATCAGCTATTGTTCCAAAATGATGGATAAATTTGTTTTCTCCCCCTATCTAGAAGTCTTTGAGAGGGAACTGACACTGATTCTAAC